GAGTGTCAGGCGTGGGCGAGGGGGGGCCCAGAGTGGGTGGCAGTCCCTGGATCAGGACACTGTGCTTAGAAAAGCAGATGTTGCTGTTGTTGTTGTTATGTACTATCGAGCGAAAACCAATTCACAGCTGACCCTCCAGCAGGTTTTCAGAAGCAGCTTCACTGCATGGGAAGACTGCCCATCCTTCTCCCACAAAGCTCCCTGGAAAAGTAGAGAGTTGGTGAAAAAGAGAAAAACCCTGAGCGAGAGGGACTGACACAGCGACAGCATCAAAGACCTAATAACACAGAGACTGCGAGGACGAGGACGTGCAGGACCTTTCGGTCTGTTGTGGATGGGGTGGATGGGAACTGGCACCTCAAGGCCTGGCAACCCAGCACTCCCCTTGGGCATTATCTGATTAACATCAAAAAGACCCTATTTCCAAACCAGATCACCCCACAGGCTTGTCGTTGTCAGGTGGCTCAGCAAGCTGTGACAATTGGCAAGGCCCCACAGGTAACCTTCAGGGAAGCAGATGGGCAGGTCTCTCTCCCTAGGAACTGCTGAGTCGTTCAAACAGGAGGTTCAAACTACAGTGAGGATTCAGGCCAAAGCTGGGAGAGGGGAGGACAGGGAAGAATTTCATCTCCAACAACCTTCCTCAAAATGACGTGCTGTTCTCCTAAGGGAAAGGTGAGTGGTTCGGATCCACTAGTCACTCCGGGAGAAAGATGTCAGCCTCAGAAACCCAAGTGGAGGGTGGTCCTGAGTCTGACCTGATGGCACTGAATTTGGCTTTGGTTGTGTAGCAACGCAGAAATGAACAGACTACAACAAATATTGGGAGAGGATGGGGGAAAGTGAATGTATGTCAAAGCTACATCTTTTATGCTGAGAAGTTAAAAATGACTTCAGCAACTCCCAGTTGTCATTTCCTAAAATACAAAAGGTTTTGGAAAGAGCAGGTTTGGTGGTGGCAGTGATGTTGAGGGGGAAAAAAATGACTAAAGATGACAGAAGACTAATCGCTGCCTTTCAACTGTGCTGCTGGAGGGGAGACCAAAGGTGCTGCCAGAATGCTCCTTAGAGGCAGAGAAGGGCAAACTTCATGTCACATACTTTGGCCATGTATGTTACCAGGATGGACCGATCCCTGGAAAAACGCACGATTCTGGGAAAGGTGTCAGAGAGAAGAGAGGAAGACCTTCAACAGGATGGACTGACACAGTGACTGTAACTAGGGGCTTTGGTGTATCGGAGATGGGGAGGATAGGGCAGGGCAGGGCCCCCACAAGTAACTGTCACCTCAATGGCATCTAACAACAGCAACAAAGTATTACTGCTAAAAATGAAAAAAGAAACAAGAAGTATAATCAAAAGAGCTGATGCTTAAGACGAAAAAGAGCCTAAGATCTAAAAGGCCAGAAAGGTTGCCTTGGCAAGGTGCCTGGTGGTGAGAGAAGGGGCCACCTGGGGGTGCAGCTAAGGGTGAGGGGAGAGAAGCCACCTGGGGGTGCACCTAAAGGTGAGGGGAGAGGCTGATCAGGGTGCGCCTGAGGGTAAGAGAAGAGAAGCCACCTGGGGGTGCCCCTGAGCGTGAGGAGAGGTTGACTGGGGGTATGCTGGGGTGGGAGGAGGTTAAGAAGAGATAAACCCCACAGCATCTTGGTCCAGCCAGCACTCTGTGAACAGGAGAGAGGACAGCCGAAGGGTGGAAAATTAAGAGAAAGTGGGGGCCATGCAGAGAGGAGGCACAGATCACAAGGCTACTCTGCTCCACTGTAGTCATGTGACCACAGACACCACCCAAACCAACCTCATGGCTGAGAGCCAGTAAGGAGTCCCTGGGTGGCACAAACGGTAAAGCACTGGGCTGTTAACTGAAAGGGTGCTGGTTCAAACCCACCAGCACGTCACAGCCCTGACAACCCTTTGGAGTGCAGCTCTACACTGAATCACTGTCACCGGGGGTCAGGAACGCCTGGCCAGAGCTGGTTTTGGTGCTCTGGTAAAACTCAGGCAGGTGTGGCCTTGGGCCTGATTTCGCTGACCTCTGCTTTGAAACACAGCCAGCATACTGGGGCCTCTGAGCTTGTTTTCACATTTTTAGCAACTTGGAAGTGGAAAAAGGGTATGAGGATTTGGGGAGAATGAAAAGAGATCCTACAAAGAAAATGAGTTTAGCTAGAACTGCTCAATAAATACGGTTCTTAGCATGGCCGTGGTCGGGTAGGCCCCTGACTCATGACAAGCCAAGCTCTAGCGGCAACACTTTGCCTGAAGCCTTGACAGCAGACTACCAGACACTAACACACAAGGCGTTCAGGGACTTTTCTGACAACAACCAGGCCTTCCTTCCTAGTGCATCTTAGTCTGGAGGCACCACTGAGACTCCAGCACCAAGCACTCCGGAGCTCCACCGAGCAGGCAGGCACTGCTGCGGTGCACCGGCCCGGACCTGAGCCCACGTCTCCAGAGCCGAAGGCAAGGACTCCACCACTGAATCGCCACTGTGCCCTTGTTGGTAGAGTGCTTTCCAAACAGCTGCCCTGGGTTATCAAACCAGCAGAGCAAACTCCTCTCACCGCTCTTCGTGTGGCATCTTTAACAAAAGAGTCAGGCTTTCCCCCAGGAGTCGTGAATACTGTGCCTGGTTATGGGCCCATCGCAGGAGCAGCCATCTCTTTCCCACATGGACGTCGACAAAGTGGCATTCACAGGATCAACAGAGGTTGACAAACTGATCCAAGAGGCTGCTGGGAAAAGCAACCTGAAGAGGGTGACCATGGAGCTGGGAGGAAAGAGGTCCTGCATTGTGTTGATGGACGCTGACTTGGACAGTGCAGTTGACTTTGCACACCATGGAGTCTTCCATCACCAAGGTCAATGTTGTATAGCTGCGTGCAAGCTTTTTGTGGAAGAATCAATTTACAATGAGTTTGTTCGAAGGAGTGTTGAGCGGGTTAAGAGGTATATTCTTGGCAATCCTCTGACCCCAGGAGTAAGCCAAGGCCTTCAGATTGACAAGGAACAACATGATAAAATAATCGACCTCATTGAAAGTGGGAAGAAGGGGCCAAGCTGGAATGTGGGGGAGGCCCCTGGGGAAATAAAGGCTACTTTATCCAGCCCACAGTCTTCTCCAATGTGACGGATGAGATGCGCATTGCCAAAGAGGAAATACAGTCCAGCAAATCATGAAGTTTAAATCTTTAGAGGAAGTCATCAAGAGAGCAAACAACACTTTCTATGGCTTAGCAGCAGGAGTCTTTACCAAGGACCTTGAGAAAGCTGACAGTGTCTGCTGCCCTGCAGGCTAAGACAGTGTGGGTGAACTGTTATTTGGCAGAGTCTGCCCACTGCCCATTTGGGGGATTCAAGACGCCTGGAAATGGATGAGAACTGGGAGACCCGGTGAAAATTTCCAAGAAAAAGCCATAAAGAAAACCACAAGAGTAGAAAGAAGAAACTTCAACTGCCAAGCATCTCCCAAAGTCACTAATATAGTGCAGTGTGCTTTTCTTGATTTCACTAAAGTGAATTTCATTAACATAACCAGACATCGAAAACCTGACATGTAGCTATTCCGAGTAATTTTCCTTTTGATATGTAGCCCCAATTTCTAGCATATATTAAATGGACACATTTAATGAATGATATCTTTGACTATACTAGTCAGAACAATTTTTCCTTTAGTAGAACATGTCAGGGTTGTAATTTTATAGTGGAGGACCAATTGTTTTTTAGCTTATTTCCTTTAACTGTTCTTTGAAGTACTTAACATGTATGTTGTTAACTGTCCAGTAAGGGGGCTCTTACTCCCAGTAGTTGTGCAATCATTGGTGTCTCTTGAAATGTTTATAAGAATGTGGTGTCTGTGGGTCAGATGAAGTACCTGAAATATTGAGGTGCAATCTGAATGTAAATTTCAATAAAATTATGTTAAAGAAAAGAAAAAAACCACATCAAAACAAACAAACAAAAAAAACCCAACCTCAAAAAAATAGCTGCCCTGGTCAGAAACTAGACTTACTGTCCTCCAAAGGGTAAGAAAAGGAAAGAAACGGGGGGAAGGTGAAGACTACCTCTGTAGCACGCATCAGGTCCTCCTAAACCATAATCCGTCCCGGGGTTCCCGTTTGTTCTTCGACCTGAGATTACCTGAGACACCACCACCAGGTACAGAGGCGCCCCCCCCCCACCGCCCCAATGGCTCTGCCAGTCGAAGCCCTTCATCCTTCACGTGTTTATGGAAGAAATATTCACTGTGCTTACCTAACACAGGAGATGCAATGATGACAGCCTCACCCACTCCTTACGAGACTACAGCACTGTCACCAAGCTCATCCCCAAATGCTCGCCAGCCCCTGCAGCACCTCCTCTCTCCTGATCCCCAGCACTGAGTTCCCAGCCCCCGCCCCATCAGCCCACATGCTCCATGAGCCAGGACGTCTGCTGAGGACATGAGGGAGGCCCTTCTGCTAACACTGTCAGGTGATGCAGAGGACAGAGAGGGTGAGGTATGTGGGAGGCGAGCCCCTCTCTGTGGGCCCTGCACCCTGAATTCTGAAGTCGGCATCTCTAATCACTGGAGCCCGTGAGCCATTTCCTGATTACTCATAAGTCTGAGAGCCCCCGGGGCGCAGTGGTTAAAGAGCACAGCTGCTGACCAGAGGCCGGCAGTGTAAACACACCCACTATCCAGAGAGAAGGATGTGGCAGACGGCACTGGTAACCAGTGAGTTTCAAAAAGCCCAGGCGGCCCCTCTGAAGTCGCTGGGACGGTGCCTACATCAGAACCGAGTCCGTGGACTGCTCTTGGTTTCACCTGCACCCTCCACTAAACCAGCCATGTGCTCTGGTGACTTGAGGGGTGGCACCAAGTCCTCTCACTTTTTCCTACAATTAACAGCAGAGGGGGAACATGGCCGCTAAAGCTCCAAGTGGAGGAGGAAGCGGAAGGGCCTCATAACGGGGGTGTCAGCCAGTGAGCAATGAGGGTCAGGGTGGGGACTCACCGCGTTTGGGCTTGGGGAAGCTGTCATGCAGCCAGAAGACCACCTTCTCCACGAAGTGCTGGATCTCACACTGCTCGGGGCCACGGACGAACACCGTCCAGTCGTGGGTGAAGCCCTCGGTGGTGGGCTTCTTCCGAAGTTGGGCGCGGTGTCCCAGCTCTAACTTGACCTGGACGGTGCACTGCGGGAGAGAGCAGGATGCAGTCAGCTCAGAGTGCACTACAGGCCGTGAGGCCACTTCCCACGGAGCAAATGTGATACACCCAGGCCACTCTTGCTCAAGTATGTCCCCAAACCCCCAGAAGGAAGACGGACAGCTCAGGGGTCGTCCAGTGCAGCCCACCTGTCACAGGTCACCAGGGCTTTTCTCCTGTGGAACCACTGGAGGTTTGGAACTGCCAACCTTTCTGTGAGTAGCCAAGTGTTTAACCCTAGCACCACCAGGGTTCCTCAGGCCTGTGCCAGTGCTGTAGATACACAGTCTCCCACCAAGTCCACCTCCACTGCCCCCTGGCCCCCTCCTCCAAGCCCGAGCAAGGCCTGCTCTCCATGCTGGTCCTCCAACCTGCCCTGCCCACTCAGCCTCACCCCCCAGTTCCGTCTGTCTGGGGTGCTCGTTCCCCTTCACCTGGCTGGCCCCCTCCTGGGATTGAGGGCTCCAAGGCCTCCCCAACCACCCACTTTGAAAGCCCTCCCACCTCTGTCACTCTGGATTGTGTCAGCATCTCAGACTTTATTGCTGTCACAGATCCATCATCTCACTAACTGTCCATCTGAACCACCTGCCACCAAGCCCACCCTGCCACCCTATGTCGTGACGACCCCACCCTGCCACCCTGTCTCCTGATGACCCCTCGCAGCGCAGAGCAGAACCAGGCCCCTTGGGTTTTCAGCGGCAGACTTCTAGGAAGCAGGACATCACCGCCTTCTTCAGAGGTGTCTCCGCGTGGACCCACAGCCCCAGCCTTTCCAGACAGCAGGCCAGTGCGCTAAGCATCTGCCCCTCTCTGTGTGTAACAGGAGCACCCCCGAGGCCAAGACTCCTCTTGAGAATCTTAGAAACAACTCCACACCCCCACACTGCCAGCGCCTCATGTTACAGATAGGGAACTGCTACGTCTCAAACCATCGGCCAGAGGTGAGAGGCATCTGGCACCCAGAGGCTGTTCACTTAGCCACCCCACCATCCTGCCACACTCGCCCCTTCATCCAAGCACAGCTGTTCCCCTCCATCCTGCCGCGTTCATTCCTTCTCCAAGCACGGCCACCCCGCCATCCTGCCACACTCGCCCCTTCATCCAAACATGACCGTCTCCCTCACCCTGCCGCGTTCACCCCTTCATCCAAGCACGGCCACCCCATCCTGCCACACGGTCGTCCTCCCTCACTTTACGGAGCTCCTCCTGCAAGACATCATCTAAACGAGCCACTTTCAATCCAGCTCCCAGTCAATGGAGACAAGTCTGCAGTCACCGGGGACAGGCCTGAGGAGTCAGTCCCTCCACGTTACACAGGAGGACACACCCTAAATATAACGTGACCCGCGCCAGCTCCATCCCACGGAGCACACTGGCCCTGCTGCTCAAAGCAGGCGCACCACCTCAGACCGGACCACAAGCAGGGCCTGGTGTTCTCACTGCTCTGGCCTGAGATAACGCCTGCACTTCTCACAGACAGGCCTCCTGTCAGTGTTAACTATAGGAAAGTTACTAAGTCAGACAGCGGCCGAGTCGTCACTTGTTTCTAATGCTCAGATAAGCAGGCTGTCTCATTCTTCTGCAGATCGCTAAGCAGGTTCAAACCATTGACCTCGGCTAGCAGCCAAGCATGTAACCACTGCACCAAGGTTCCTTCTAGGTGCTGCAGGGGATTCTAAACAAACGGCCAGCACCCCAAGATGCCCAGACCCTGTTCATTCCTGTCGGCCCTCGCTCCCTCTCCTCCAAGCCTGGGGGCCCTGGACTCAGGTCTCTGATCCAAAAGTCCCATTTCAAGTGCTCTCGTCTCAGGGCCTTACTTCCTGCACTGTTCCCCATCCCTCCACAAGCCCTGCAGATCTGGGGGAGTAGGGACGCAGTCTGCGTGTCTTTCATCGTACTGGAAGCCACAGCGCCCTCCAGGCACCAGTGTCACTGGAGTGCCCATCAGCCCACAGCAAGGAGCTGAGTCAGAGTCATGGCCACAAGGACCCCTCAACCATCCTCAGATCGAAGATCAAGTGGGGTCTGACTACTGTCTGATTATGATCTAGGGAACCCCTTACAGAAAAGTGTGAAACAGAACTTCCATTTGTTATGGAAACCAGAGGTACTGACTGGGCTCTTGGAAACTGAAGGCACCCCTGTTATCTACCACCCTGCAGGAATCTTTAAGCAGTTATCTTTAAACTAATCCAGAGCTTATTAGTTCAACTAAAGAATGTTTCCCTGAAGCAGTGTGTTCCTTGAAGGGACTATTTCTATGAGATCAGACTGACAACAGCAACCTCACAGCACAGTGGAGTAGTTTAGGGGGCAGAGTCAAGTTTAATGGTGGCGAAAACAACTTGAGCTGAGATAATGAGACAACAGAGGTCAAGGAAGCTGGTTGAACCATGACTGCAGAAAATGCTGAACAGGTGGATATTTCCCTCACAATCAGATAAAAGACTCAGGTGGTTCCCAGGTAGAGAGGAGCCTGAGAGCCAGATCTGCTGAGTGCTCAGCAAGCCAAGTCTAAGGGTAGGACAGAAAAGTCCCCCAGCAAAGGAACAAGACAACAAAGAGAGTGAGGAGAAGTGAAGGAGGGGCTTCAGGAAGAGCTGGGATCACAACAGAGACGATGGCCAACAGTGAGTGGACAGAGGAGATGGGGACATACTGTCAGAGAAAGAGTGCCAACGACCTGTTGAAAAAGGGGAAAAAAATACTACAAACGCTGGGAGGAAACAAGAGAGAAGGGCTGAAAAAAGGAGGTCACAGAGCCTGAAACGGGAGCGCTGGCCAGGGGTGAGGGAGGAGGAGGCTCTACTGACTCCAGGGACTGGGCTGTGGGGATGAGGATGAGGCAGTGGGGGCAGACAGCCTGAGTAAGGTGAAGGCAGAAACACAGAACACACAGGAGGGAACACCTACCCAAGGCACCTCAGAAGAAAGGCCTGGCAACCAGGAGCTAAAGGCCTGGACTAACAAGCATTACCAACAAAATCATCCACCAGCTTTAATCTGAACAGTGCTGCACACAGAGAATGCTCAAAACAAACCCCAAACAGTCCTTAAAACCCTCACCATGGAGCCGGCCCCCCTGTGCAGGGCAGGACTGCTCCATGGGGTTTTTAATGGCTGCGACCCCTGACAGCAGATCACTGAAGTGCCTCGGGGTGAATCTGAAACCTTAACCACATGCACCACTCAAAGGCTCTTCCAAAACAGCTCTGACACACTCACACTGGGTCCAAGACGCCTTCATAAGCATCTACGTTTCCACAGATGGGAGAAGACTGAACGGCAGGAGGTGACTGCTGAGAACTGATGTGAAAATTTTGCGAGCAAGGATCCTATGGGGATCTGATTGGTGCCCTCGGCGTTGCCACTGCACAACATCAAGCAAGTCTGTGACCCCACTGGAGACAGCAGAGCCCACGGTTTCCCTGACTGTACCATCCTTACAGGAGACGGCGTCCTCCTACCGTCGGTGGTGGGTCTGACCCACTGGCCTTGTGCTCACAGCCAAGCATGTTACCACTGCGTCACGAGGACTCCTTGTCAGGCCTTAACTCCTGCATGCTGAAATCGTCTCCCTGCAATCTGGTACTCTCCAACCCGGTTGCCCAAAGCTCAGTCGACGGGCTGGCACTTCCAAGTGCCTGGTGCTCTACCCTGGGCCAGACAAGTGGCAGGGCAGGTCTGTAAGACGCTGGAGACCACAGCGTCATCTGGGAGGGAGGGGGCATGGAGGCACCAAAACACGCTCCAGCCGGCCAGCGCCACAGCTGTGCCCTGTGGGTGAGTGCCAAACTCTGCCCGACACCCCCAGCTCAGGGTGTGTCATGGTTTCCATCAGTAAAGTCACCGTTCACATGCCCAGCACGCTCATGTTGGCGCAATACGACGCCGGGGGGGGGGTCCCCTCCCGCCAGCGCTGGAATCCTCGGAGGACGGAGGGTAACGCAGATGGAGACACTACTGAGAGACACTCACATGGGCAACGAGACACTCACGCTCTCTAACTGCCAGCCCAGGCCAGCTTCTCTGACAAGTAGACTCAGGTCACTTTTCAGCACCAAGAGAGCCCTGGTGGGGCAGCAGCATGTGGGTGTTGGAACCCATCCAACTGCTCTGCAGGAGAAAGCCAGGGGACCTGCTCCTGTAAACACTGTGTGGTCACTGGGTCACTGCTGTCCAGTTGGAACTGACTCTTGGCTGACCCTCCAGTGGATTTTCAGAGGCAGTAAAGCACTTGAAACCAAGTCCCTCCTTGAAGGCTAGCATTTTGAAGCTCTGCCTCACTTACTTTGGGCCCCTAGCCAGGAGAGATGGGTCCTTGGAGAAGGACATCATTCTCAGAAGGGTGGACAGACAGCGCAGGAGAGGGAGACCCCGGATGAGATGGATTGATACGGTAACTGGGCAATGGGGGTTGGTGTGTCAGAATTAGTGAGACTGGCTCAGGACAGGGAAGGGTTCAGAGCTGCTGTACAGAGGGTCGCTATACATCACGGGCAACTCAATGGCACATAAAAACAACATACTATGACAAGTTTGGAAGCAGGAGTGGCATCCAATTCCTAAATAACATGTCTCTGGAAACTCTCTGAACTTTGATAAATGTCAATAGTTGTAGAGGGGGCTTCAGGCCTTTTGTTCATAGGGTCACTAAGAATCATGCTTGACTCAAAGACAATCAACAACAACAACAAATCAACAGGAAAAGCTTGTCCATTTTTTGTTTTCTCCTGCGGAGGACTACTGGATTCAAACTTCCAGCCTTTGGGCTGGTAGTGCAAATCCCTGCTCACTAGGCCACTAGAGCTCCCAGCAGGGCTATAACCCAGCTCTATGGCAGTTCCGTCACACGAGTGGCTAAGCTGAAACAGACTCCAAGGCACCTCACAACTGCAGCAACAAAAGTCAATTCCGCAGCCAACGTCTGGGCCCCTCTCCTTTCTCTGCTCCTCCCGGGCTCCTTCCCCATCCGTTAGCGCCAAAGGATCCACGCACATCAGTTAGCTCTCTCCCTAGGAGGAACTCCCCAGGAGGAAGGGGTGCCTATGAAAGAGGGAGCAGACGGCTGGGTTAAGCCTGCTACTTCCCTGGGAGAAATGGTTCCCCGACTCGCCCAGCTGGCAGCCTGCTCCCAACAGCTTCTGAGAGAGGAGCACTACTGGCTGCACTACTGGGAAGGCACTGGTGGAACCTCTGGATTCAGGGCGGAAAGCTGCTGGACACCTGGCTGCGGTTAGCACCCCTTCCTGGCCCCTGTGGGCAGCACCTGGGCCAGCTCACTTCCCAACAAAAGCTCAGAACAAAGGGGAAAGTCTTGGGCTGTTCTGGAGCATGACCACTGGTAAGAGAGTGGTCAGATTAGTGTGCATGTCATCAGGGGACAGGACAGCCTGGGCAGAGGACGCCCGAGGCTCTGCCCTCTCTCCAAGCACCTGGAATCAAAGGACAAGAATCCTAAAGCTTGGTGGGCAGCTTCCCAGGCACTCTGGAAGTACAGCTCTCTCAGGAGGACCAGGTGGTACAGGCAGCTTTAACCCAGAGGCTGGGCGGCTGAGTACTCTCAGAGGTGCCTCAGAATATTTATGGCTCAGAAACCATGCCATTCAAATGGAGACTTGTCCATCAATGTTCATACTAGCGTTATTCATCATCGCAAGAACATGGAAACAGCCCAGATGTCCAAGCACAATCGAATGAACTGAGAAATTATGACACAATGGAATACTATGCAGCACGCAGGAGCAATGGTTTTGTAAATTATTAGCTAACTTGGTAGGGACTGGAGAGCATTATG